GGGCCTACAACATTATCTGTGTTTTCACTACTAACAGGTAACCCGCTAACGTTTCAGTATGATAAGGGTTTTTCCCTATCATCAGTAGGACTGATATTATCATTAATTTCTATTATATTACTTTGTGCTCTCGTTAATGCACATGCAGGGTAAATATCCTCCTCTTCTGGCTCTCTAATTATGTCGAGCGGAGGATCATTAGCTACAATGGGATTTACAATTACTTTGTCCCCTGCCAAATCATTACCAAGCAATAAAGAAATGCCTTCTACTGGTAGATTAGGTCTAGTACCTACCGTTACTGATCCAGAAATTAATTCGGATTTAATGTTTATAACATGAAGCGGCACGCTAACAAACCCTGACTCGACACCCTGTATTAACACATTAGATCACAGTAAATGTCTTACTAGACAAAGGCAAAATCCCTTCTAATAACAATGACTGGGCTGCACCAGTGTCTCGTAATATATTAATTTAATAGGATTGTTATCACCCTCTAATGAGATAAAGCCTTTAGAAATAAACGGCTGATACCGCCTCATCCACTCGGACTTGGATTGATATCCGCTACAGGCATTAGGGACAAATTCCCTATTCTTTCTGAGATAGCAATTTGATATAACATGTCCCCGTTTCTTACAGTAAGCGCATTTTGGAGCTGATCACCATCGTTTCTGGCCATAGTTACCATTGTTACGATTAGAATGGGTACCCCCAAACTTATTCCCGATTTGAGTTGATGATGGAGTATTATGGGGTTTATTTACACCCTGATCATGTTTAGTAAATCCCTGTTTATGGGTTAATATATACTCATCAGCTGTAGCTGCGGCCTTACTCAAGTCTTCAACTTGATGTTCGTTTAAATATGTCTCTACATTATTGGGAATACATTCTTTAAATTCCTCCATCAATATATTTTCACGCAATTTGGCAAAATCTTTGTTAACATTTCTAGATGCTAACCAACGATCAAATAACTGCTACTTTTCTCTAGCAAACTCAACAAAAGTGGTATTAGCAGCTTCCTTTAAGTTCCTAAAATTTTGTCTATACGCTTCGGGTACTAACTCATAAGCTTTAAGGATAGCCCCTTTCACTCTATCATAATCACCTCTCTCCTCAACGGACAAGGCCGAAAATATATCTCGTGCCTTTCCCACTAACACACTTTGTAATAGTAAAGGCCAAACTTGTCTAGGCCATTTAAGGCTGCCTGCAATCTTCTCAAAATGCAGGAAATATTTATCTACCTCCTTCTCACGGAACACAGGTACTAGTTTAATATATTTAGTGGCATCAAAAGGTGTCCACCCTACATCAGTATCACTCACTTCGACAGATGTTCCTATCTTCATCTCCATAATTTTAATTTCGTGCGCTCTCCTTTCTCGCTCTAAGGTTATCTGTCTTTCATCTTTCTCTTTTTCTCTTTCATTCTTCTCTCTCTCCCATCCCATCTCTTTCTGTTTTAACTGAAGTGTTAACTCCAGTTCTCGCAACCTGGTCTCGCTATAACTAGGCGCTGCAGTGGGATTATCTTATCGGACTCTATGGCTAAAACGCTCTCATGAAGCATTTTTTCATCTCCCATGTGTCTTGCAATTAGATTCTTAATTTCCCGTTTTCTTCATATCTATTCTGACGTCCACTTTAAGTATTTTAGCTACAGCTAACAAATCATTTTTTCTTAAATCGTTAAAATCATCCACTGTAGGATTTTCCATAAATTTATCAATATCAGCCATGTTGACTGCCGCCATAATTACAGGCTATGCACTTAAAATAAATAGATAATTTAATATCAAAAATTAAAACAACATAAATGATAATCTGAACGTTATTTATTTTGCCTGGAAAGCATTAAGTAATTAATAGATAATACAAAATTGAAAATTAAAACGGCATATACAATTAAAACTTAACGTCAGTTATCTTGTCTTGTAATCAGTTCTGTTCCTCTTACTTGATCTGTCTTGATCCAAGTCTTGACTAAATCAGTTCTGCTCCGTCTTGGTCCTGGTCTGATCCTGGTACCTTGATTTTACTGTTCCATCAATCATCTGTGTATCACAATTCTTTTCCTCCTTGCCCTTTAGTAGGCTTTATTTGAACAGTTGGTTTACTATCAAATCGAATTTTCTTTGAACAGATTCAAATTTCGTTTTCTTTCAAGTTTCCTTTCTCAAGTTGGTTGGTTCCAATTAACTTCTTATTATTTAGTTCTCTTCTCATGGGTTACAGCTTCAGTAATGACAGTTACAAAATATCAGTTGACAAAAGGAAATCAAACTTCAATATGGCAGTTAAAAATACAAGTTGATAAAACAAAATCACGATCACCTGGTCATTTCTTCCGTGTTACCGTCGAGTTGGTTTAAAAAAAAAAAAAAAACTTTTGCTCCTTGAGATTTATTTTCCCGGACGAGCCCCCAAATTTCTGTTACGGCCGAAATTCGCCTGGTTCACTCACTCATCTCTACAGCAACGTCACAGCATTACGCATGACAATATAACAATAAACTCGAACGACTGCCTTTATATTTCTATGTATCTTTATTCAACATCCCAGATCCCAGGTCTTGCCTGTTCTGGATCTGAGTACCAACTCCCTCACTTCAATGTTTTCTGCCTATACATAGTAACACCCTAACGACATAAACATGTATCTATCATGGTGGTAAAAAATAATTAATAAGACCTTTCTGCACAAGCATGGTCCGATAATTAATGTGACTGTTTCCACAAGCAAGGTCAGATTTGGCCAGACACTTGTCTGGATTACATAACCTTACTGCCTTTGTGCTGGCTTTTTACCACCATGGTGAATACATGTTTATGTCGTTAGGGTGTTACTATGTATAGGCAGAAAACATTGAAGTGAGGGAGTTGGTACTCAGATCCAGAACAGGCAAGACCTGGGATCTGGGATGTTGAAAACAGCAACAACAGCGGCGGCAACCTACAACAGCAACAACAGCGGCGGCAACCTACGGCGGCAACCTACAACAGCAACAACAGCGGCAGAAACCTACATCAGCAACAACAATAATAATAATAATAATAATAATAATAATAATCAACACTAATATTAATGAATGTTATTTTATTATGGCCAAAAACTAGTAGTACACACACACACCCACCCACCCACGCATACACGACTGATATGTCCTAATAATATTACTTAAAAGAGAACTCAGTAGAGAGCATATCTCCACCCACCTCTAATCTTTTTGTATAAAATAAATCCTCAAAACATATGTTCATATTCTCCAACCACCAACCACCATCTACTTAAAAAAATTTTTACTAACACGAAAGTTTTAGATCAGTTGATTAGTTTTGAGATATCTGATCTCAAAACTAATCAACTGATCTAAAACTTTCGTGTTAGTAAACTTTTTAAACTAATCTTTGAATGGTCTATATATCGATACCAAAACGAACGCCTTTTATTGTCAGTAACACTGAATATTCCTAACAATTTTTTGCTTAACACACTGGCACCTTTTACTCTTATAGCTGACCAAAATAAATACCTGCCATGTATTGGTGTTGAAATGGAAATATTATGCAAATAGAAATATGAAGATTTGATTTTTAGCACGGTCACATGTTTAAATGTAAAGATGCATTAAAAATATTCCAGTTTAAAAAAAAGTGATGTTAGTACATATGAAACGCTCTACCTTTACTGTAACTGTACTAATTTAAATATTCATCATATAGCTATTGTTTCTGCCTACGGTAATATGGTAAACATGTTCTGTAAATGGTCCTCATATCCACACCCTACTTTGGATCTTGATCAAAATTGAAACACTTCTTTGTCAAAACATGAACTATTCTGCTAATTGTAATTTTTACCCATGAACTATTCTGCTAATTGTAATTTTTACCCATTGAACCGTTTACGAGATATTCAGTTCTATGACCTAATGACCCTCAAATGCACACCCGTATTTGGACCGTCACGAACACTTCAGAATTTCTTCCTTGTAACATGGTTAAACTTTCACGAAAGTTTCATTCAGACCAGTTGATTATTTGATGAAATATCTGGTCTGACATTTAAAAATTACCTTGTAATTCATATACGAATTGAGTAAAAAAGCCCGAATTAATTAAATAGGTAGCCGAAAATGGAACTTAAATACTTAACATTCTAACTACCTGCAATGCCCCATCAATTTCTCAAAATAACAACATAACAACAAAACCAGCACCAAAAATGTTCTCACCTGAGCCTCGTAAGAATTTGAGACTCATGATGATCATAAATTACACTTCGATATTACAAATTTACAATATCTGAGCCCCAACATTGATTTGAGGCCCAGATGAGTAAATTTTAAGAATTTGACACGCTAAACATGCCCGAAAATGGTACTTCGATTCTTAAAATTTATGAAAACTACCAATCCATCCACCCGATTTAGCCCACAATGGTTGAAGCAAGACACTTATAAGAATTCGAAACTTAAAGATACAGGAAAATGGCACTTTAATACATAAAAACTACGGAGATTAATCATGGATGAGGCTGAGGTGATACTATTTTTAAAATTTTAAGAATTGGGGACTATGCTAGAAAATGGCACTTTAATGCATAAAAACTAGCAAAATTACTGCATATCCACCTGAGGGTGTAGTCGGGGCCGTCCTTCCTTTTCCCATGTGTTGGTTCCCATAAAAAGGAACCCTTAAAATAACTTAATTTTTTACTTCAGTAGCAATATCCAGCAAACACTCGGCTGATTGATTACTCGATTGATTATTTTTGCTTGATTAATAGATTTTTTTTGTATGGGCGGTCGTTAGGGCAAATGTACTCCATTGCCACTATTATTCTGCCCTCATCGACTGGTGGCGATAACACATTGGACCATGGAATGTGGAAATTACGTAACTGCGCATCAGTGCTTTCCTCATTGTTTGCTGTGGAGTGGGCGGAGCTAAGCCGAGTATTCTTCCCACTCATAACCAATGTAATAATCTTTTCAAAAAGTAAGTAGACGTTAGTATTGATATCAGTCTGTCTGTCAAGTATATAATGCGTCAGTTTTGCTGCATCGTCTGTAATTAGCGTCGTAGTTTCCTTATGTTGAGTCCCTCCGGTTTCAAAAAAAGTAAGTTACTTATAAAGTAAGTTACTTATGAAGGTTTATATATTTTGTTCAACAGATTTGATTTTACATTAGTTTTTGATAAACACGACTATTTTTTTATTGGTTTTGACACATAAGATGTGTTTAAAGTGTTTATTTCTTTTTCAGCTGCCAGTACTTGACAACTTTGCAGCATTCAACCAATCAGCGCAATCAGTAATCTTTTTTCAGCAATTTCATGCCTGTAAGTATATACACGGCATACTATAAGTAAACGTTAGGTGATATAAAATTAATTGAAATAATTATCTCAATTTGTAAAGCCACAAAGCAAGGCTACCTATCATCTCTTTTTAATAATAATAATAATACTAATAATAATAATGGTAATAATAATTATTATTATAATAAGAATAATAATAAAATAATAATAAAACAATAATAATAAAACAATAATAATAATAATAATAATAATAATAAAATTATTATTATTATTATTATTATTATTATTATTATTATGATTATTATTATTATTACCGCAAGAGAAATATTTGTTTTATTTGTGTAAGTTTTTGTGCATGTGTGTGAGTGTTTGTAACGCTTTCCTGTTTTCGTGTGGTTTTTTGTGTACGACTGTCTCAAAAACGCCTGCACAGACATAATTGAAAGTTACAGGGAGTGTTAGGTATAACCCTAGGAAGAAATGATTAAATTTTGGTAACGGTCCGGAGTAAGGTGTCGATATGATGACCATTTAAAGGGATTTTAAAGCAAAAAATCTCAAAAACTTCTATTTTAGCTGCCAGTACTTGACAATTTTGCAGCATTTAATCAATTAGCGCAATCAGTAATCTTTTCTAAAACAATGTCATGCCTGGAAGTGAATACACGGCACACTAAAAGTAAATGTTAAGTGATAATAATAATAATAATAATAATAATAATAATAATAATAATAATAATAATAATTGACAAACACTTTACGAACGCTGCAATGTTATTATTATTATTATTATTATTATTATTATTATTATTATTATTATTATTAATATTATTGTTTTTAAAATTATTTCATTACTTTTATTATCATCTTTAATGTCAGACACGCAAAATGCATCTTCGTGGAATGTTATTGCTTTCGGTCCTTGTTTTCACAACACCTACAGAGAATCTGGCACCTATTCAACGCCGGTAAGTATCATAAATTTGTTTGTAGATGATCAATCACTTCAACTTACGTAAAGGTAATTTTA